GTTATTTAAAGCGGCAAATGACCACCAAACCTTAATCTTAGCAGACAAATGTGCCAATGAAAATCGTAAACGTGAATTGTTGGTGAAAATGTTGGACCAAAAAGTTTCAATAAAATATATAAAAATTTTGGGCGGGACGAAGTTCGCCGGGTCTGCTAGTATGTAATACTTCTAAATTGATAGTAACGTATCTTCACAATGTATTTTTATTCCGCAATCAAAGGGAGACAGCCTATCAAATAAATGTTTGCTTGTGTTAGTATAAATGTATAGTTGTGAACTATTACAAACAAACAACTGTCAAGTCACTCCAAGAGCGGTTTAAATTAAAAATATTAAAAAAATAGAAAAATAAAATAACCAAAAATTTTTCCCTGAGCGTGACTGGGGCGAGCTTTGTGGTAACCGGCGGATTTGAATAAGCAGCAAGATATGTATAAGTTACACTTGAGGCGATCACCATATCCACTATTGAAAGATGTAGAGGATCTGTGCCTTCCTTTCCAGCACCTTAGACAGCATGTAGCGTCTGCCCGTTTTCCCTGATACGGCTCATTTTTAAGTAAACAGTGCAACATACCGACACGTGCAATACGATTCCTTTTTCCTTGCTTTTTTGTTCAAAAGTTCCACACACATTTTTTTTCTTTAATTAAAATTTAATTGTGTAAAATATTGACGGTTACTGCACCGCTCCTGATTTTTTATTCTTTTCAAACGCCATTCTGGCTGGTTGGTTTTCTCGTTCTCTCATTATATATCTGCACTCTAATGTTGGCGGATGTACTTTCAGCGTACTGCCAATATAGAAGTATTATATATATGAAAATTTTATTAACCTAAAAGTTTTTGCGAAGTGTTTATCGAATTTAATGTAAAATTTAAACATTTTTAATATAAGATGTTAACTATTTTTAAAATGTAAATGTTAATACAACTGTTTTATATATAATCCCAAATTTATGATATAAAATCCCCTCTAATAAAAAACTTAAATTGCGTAACACCGCTTCGAATTTTTACAATTGAGCAATTGTCAAAAATCTGCCTTTTTATCAAGAACTTGTTTACCAGGGTGTCTTTGAATTAATGATTGGTACTGAATTAAATAATGCACACATATAAAAGATTGCAGCCTTTTCAATAATTATTCAGTGTTAAACCTTTTTTTGATTTGGCATTGGTGTTTTCAATCTTGCTAAGAATATGTTGATGTGTGAATTCATAACTGCTTTGAGTGAATGGAAAATTTAAAAATTATAAACCCCAATCTGAAGCGAGGAATAAGTAATGAAAACTAAATAGAAAAAATTGTTAATTTAAAATTGAAAATGAGTTCACACTTACACAGCTCTGATGTGTACCAACTTACAGCCATGGAAGGGTGGGAAAAGGGCAGCCCTAACCCACACAGGCGCTGTCTAGCATTTTGGCTGTCCGAATATGTAGGTATGGTGGGAGGTCACAGTGGATTGCAAGTGTAAGTATAAATAGGTTTCCGCATGTGTTTTCCTTCCAAGTGTGCAATTTTTATACCCGAGAGCACTTGTGCACAAGGGTATATCTTTTTTGTTCATATAACGGTTGTTTGTAACAGCCAAAACGAATCGAGATAGATATAGACAAATGTATACATAAATGCTCAGAAAGAATTCGATTCAGCCATCTCTGTCTGTCCGTCTGTCCGTCCGTCCGTGTACACGATAACTCGAGCAAAAATTGAGATATCTCAACGAAATTTGGTATGTAAGTTTCCATTAATCCAAGGTAGGTTAGTATTGAAAATGGGCGTAATCGGACTGCAACCACGCCCACTTCCCATATAACGGTAGTTTCCAGAAATACGAAAACTGCGATATTTTAATAACTACTGAAGATAATTCACTCAAAATTGATATTTACAATAATTTTCAGACGAAAAATAAGAATATTATAAATTTTTGAAAAATGGGCGTAGCCAAGCCTACTTATGGTTACATGTGTATATCTTGGTAACCGCAGCCCCAATTTCTTCCAAGCTTAGCACAGTTGTTGGCCTTGGTACAGCATACAAAATAGCCGAAAATTTAAGAAATCGGACAATAACTACGCCCACATCCCATATAATGGTAATTTAGAGAAATACAAAATCTTCGATAAATCAGTAAATATTAAAGCTAATTTATTCAAAAGTGATGCTTGCAATAATTCTTTACCAGGAAATGCGTTTATGGTAAAATTTAGGAAAATGGGCGTGGCCCCGCCCACTTATGATCAGATATATGTATATCGGTAACCGTTCTACCAATTTGTACCAAACTCGGTATTTTTATTGTGCTTGCCACATAAAAGCAAAACGTTGAAAATTATTGAAATCGGACTAAAATTACGGCCGCTTTTCAAATAACAAGGCTCGGGTGACTACAACATATATCTTCCATACATCTGATTGTTCAGATATGGGATTTTACTGTAAAACTCCTTTATTTGAACAGCTAAAACCGATAAATTTCGTAAGATATTTTATAAATAATAATACAAAGTCTACTGAGAAAATCGTCAAAATCTATGCTGTATAAGCTTTACCTCCTATAGCACTGATTGTTCTGATACCAGTTTTTGCGATATATCTCCTTTATGTAGGAAACTAAACCCAATAAATTGTGTTACCGGTTTACATACCGATCACATAGCAGTGAAAATCACTTAGATTGGTGCCATATAAAGTACATCTTCCATATCTCTGATTGTTTAGATGCGATTTTTTATATAAGTATGTGTTTAGACGCGACTGCTAACACCAGGCGCCTAAATTCATGCTATGTACTGCTGCATGTGCAAAAATTTCCTTCATTAAATTAATGAAATTTATGTACATGCACTTCTCAACTGCCATGTAATAAAACTTTCTTAAGTTATAATTTGATGGCAGTTCAAAGTATGCTCTGCCTAGTCGGATGCATCCTCCGGACACTGCTTCCGGAGCATTCTGCGGACTCTGCATGGCTTACAACCATGCGGAGGTGGTAATAGTTGATTACCATTGGCCACAGTGCCTAACCACTACTTTTTGGTCCAATAAATATTTTTTTTATATACATACATGCAAACATACTGGTCTCCCCTCTCACTGAGTTATTCAGTATGTAACTCCTCTATCGATGTATGCAGATGTATTCAAAATCAGTAATCTGTCAAACTAAAATTTGCAGATGTTCATGAAAGGTATGAAGCCTTCGGCATAGCCGAAGACAGCGATGCTCTTACTTGTTTTTTTTTTTTTAAATTTCATTACAAGGAATTTCATATTGTAATTGGAATAGATTACGTGTAATGTTGGGGGGGGGGGGGGGG